TTTAAGGAGCAGCCATTGTCCAAAACTGACATGTAGCATGTTGTTGTTGTTTAGTTGTTTAGTCGTGTCCGACTCTTTGTGACCCCCGGACCAGAGCACGCCAGGCACTCCTGTCTTCCACTGCTTCCCGCAGTTTGGTCAAACTCATGCTGGTAGCTCTGAGAACACTGTCCCACCACCTCGTCTTCTGTTGTCCCCTTCTCCTTGTGCCCTCCATCTTTCCCAACATCAGGGTCTTTTCCAGGGAGTCTTCTCTTCTCATGGGGTGGCCAAAGTATTGGAGCCTCAGCTTCAGGATCTGTCCTTCCAGTGAGCACTCAGGGCTGATTTCCTTCAGAATGGAGAGGTTTGATCTTCTTCTAGTCCATGGGACTCTCAAGAGTCTCCTCCAGCACCAGAATTCAAAAGCATCAATTCTTCAGCGATCAGTCTTCTTTATGGTCCAGCTCTCACTTCCATACATCACTACTGGGAAAACCATAGCATGTAGCATCCCCTCCAACATTTCTCCAATGGGACGTCCTAAAGAAAAGTGGGTCATTCCAGGATCAAATCAGAAACCAGGACAGCTTCTGTAAATCCAGGACTGCCCCTGGAAAATAGGGACACTTAGAGGGTCTGCATGTAGAATGTCAAAGATACCTTTTCCACGATCATTTAGGGTGGTGGTTTTAGGGCTTGACACACTGGGCAACTGCCTGGGACTCCTCACTTTAGGCAGCCCAAAAATCTTGTACGAAACCCTGCCTGCCCCCCATACAGCCTGTTCTTATGCCTTTTTTCCCTGCACATGCACAACTTCTCAGTTCTCTCAGCACACCAGGAGGAGGAAGCCGCCATTTTCTTTTATTACATGGTGAAGGGAGAAGAAATTCACGATTTCACAGGGATTGTTTCACAACAAAATCTCTGCAGAGCGGAGAAAATGTTGTCTTTCAGTCTTTTCTGCTGGCTGAAGAAGATCTCATTGAGAAAAGCTGAAGAAGATCTCATTGAGAAAACATTCCCAAAGCTGTGTGTGAGAGAGTAACACAGACTTTACTAGATGAAACATCAGAAGACGCCATTCTTGATCCAAAAGACAAATCTTGCATAGAATTCTTTGAAGTTGTGGTGGACGAAACAATTGCTCACCTAAATGACAGATTTAAGCAGTTAAAGGATAAGCATGGATTCATATTTCATGTTAAATGTACGGCTAAAATAGGAGGTGGTGACCTTACAAAGAGTTGCAAAAATCATCTTTGTACCTTAAATATTCACAGAGGCGGAGCTTTCTGCTCCGACACCTGGAGCAGCACACATGCTGTGCACCCAGGGGCGGGGCTAGCTGCCTGTGGGGGCGGGGCGAGCACCCCAGGGGGGCACCACCCGCAGCAAGCATCCCAGGGGGGGCAGCAATGTCACCCCCCCTCAGGGATGACACCCAGGGCGGCCAGCACTCACTGCACCCCCCTTCTTCCACCACTGAACATTCAGTAGAGCTGCTCACTGAAATCAAGTGGGGTGTTTTAGGTTATATAATCAACCTCACAAGAAATGTGCAGCTTGGGCAGCCTTTCAGGCACAATACTTACAGGTACCGTGGGAATAAGTACTACATGTAAATTGGGGTAGTTTAATAATCAACATATCTACCCCAATCTACAACTAGTACAGTGGTACCTCGCAAGACGAATGCCTCGCAAGACGGAAAACTTGCAAAACGAAAGGGTTTTTTGTTTTTTGAGCTGCTTCGCAAGACGATTTCCCCTATGGGCTTGCTTCGCAAGATGGAAACGTCTTGCAAGTTTGTTTCCTTTTTCTTAAAACCGTTAATACAGTTGCGACTTGACTTCGAGGAGCAACTCATAGCACGTGGTGTGGTATCCTTTTTTGAGGTTTTTGAAGACTTTGGTGATTTTTGAAGCTTTTCCAAAACTTTTCCGACACCGTGCTTCGCAAGACGAAAAAAACGCAAGACGAAAAAACTCGCGGAACGAATTAATTTCGTCTTGCGAGGCACCACTGTACTTCACAGTGTTTGCACTGTACTTGAAAGTGAGAGGTTGTTTTCAAATTTTTCAAATTATTTTTGTTTATGACTCTCATTCATGTACTTAAAGTGTGGTGTTGATATAACGTATTAAGCAATGTTTGCCACTCCACTTGTAATAGAAGCTAACCACTGTGAATGTGTTAAGATATATCCAGTGCTTTTTTTCTGGGGGGGACGCATACCCCTAAACATTTTGTGAATCTAAGTTGGCCTCATTGAGGGGCAGTATTTCAACATGAGTAGGAAAATGAGAGCACCCCTAAACATTTTTTTAGAAAAAAAAGCACTGGATATATTTCTCCATACTTCCATGTACAGTGGTACCTCAGGTCACAAACACCTTGGATTACAAACACTTCGAGTTACAAACTCCGCTAACCCGGAAGTAGTACCTCAGGTTGAGAACTTTGCCCCATAATGAGAATGGAAATTACACAGTGGCGGTGCGGCTGTGACAGCAGCGGGAGGCCCCATTAGTGAAAGTGCACCTTAGGTTAAGAAAGGTTTTGGGTTAAGAACAGACCTCCAGAATGAATTAAGTTCGTAACCTGAGGTACCACTGTATAGATTAAAGCAAAATCGTATGCCTGTCTTGCTTTCATACCTATAAAGGTTCCCAAATGACTCTCTTCCACAGAGCCTCCCAAATCCCAGGGCCACCATGAAGGTGGGGGAATGCATCTTGTTTCTACCTCATGTGTGTGTAAATACATGCAGGGCCGTCTTTACCCGGGGGTGCAAGGGGTGCGGGGCACCTGGGCGCAGAATTCTGGGGGACTCCAGGCGCCCACCACTGAAGCTGCCTAAGCTCTTAACTATCTACCTGTTAAGAAGGAGCGTCTACCTGAAGGAGCGTCTCCACCCCCATCATCCAGCCCGGACACTGAGGTCCAGCGCCGAGGGCCTCCTGGCGGTTCCCTCATGGAGAAGGCAAGCTACAGGGAACCAGGCAGAGGCCTTTTCGGTTAGTGGCGCCCGCCCTGTGGACGCCCTCCATCAGATGTCAAAACGATAAACAATAACTTGACATTCAGAAGACATCTTAAGCGCCCTGTTCAGGGATGTTTTTAATGTATGATATTTTAGTGTTTTTGGTTTTATGAAGCCGCCCAGAGTGGCTGGGGAACCAGCCAGGATGGCGGGTACAAATAATAAATTATTATTATTAAATATCATAAACAAGAAATAATTTTGATCAAGCTAGAAAAGCAAAATACATGTATACCTAAGGTATTACCGAAATGTATACCTACTGTTTCAACTAAAGGACTTTTGACTTTGTGCACTCATTTACCCAAAGACGCGCCGATGGCCAGCGGCGGCGCTTGTCATTCACAAACGGCCCAATGCATGCAAAAATTTTGGGGGCTAAAGCCTAAAATTCTGGGGGCGCTGGGCAGATCTTTGCACCCCGGCGGCGCATATGCTAAAGACAGCGCTGAATACACGCCTATGTACACTACAGCATCATAACCTGAAGCACTATTTCTGGGTTAGTGGAGTCTGTAACCTGAAGTGTATGTAACTTGAGGTACCACTGTATTACAATACACAGGTCACAATTCCCTGATCAACATATACATAGTCTATTGCTGCCTGGAACACCTCCCCAATGTGCTACAAGGTCATTTTGACAGACACAGCAGCTTCTTGGACCAGTCATTGTACTATGGTGCCATCCAATGGCCAGGTCAAGAAATGAAAGACTGTGAACAAGACACTGTTCTTATTCTGGGTGCAATGTATGAGAATCATTCCTAAGCAAGAAGTTTCACCTATGAGCCTTTAAGCCTCTCTTTCTGTGCACATGTATGAATATGAATATGGAATGGGTTGCACAGGAGCATGATTTTAAATTGACTGTGCATGCTATATAATGTAGATTTTGCAATTGCATAACTTCACCTTTTGAACGTGGATGTATCTCCCACCCCAATGAACAGTTGCAACTGACCCAGGCAAGAGCCTGCATGGGCTGGAGAGTGTTGGGTGGAAGGTGCTTAATTTTTTTCTGAAGCCACAAGCATGGACTTGAAGAAGTCCTAAGGAACTGGGAATCCGGCTTCCAAAAAATGCATCCATATTCTTTGGTTGCTCATCCAAAGTGCATCAAACTTCTAGGCCAGAAATGACTTGAAACATTTTGGTGCTTTGGGCAGCAAATCCAAATTAGTACCCCCACTAGAAGCTGGTGAGAATATAATAATAAACTAAAAAACTGTCAGTTAGCATTTTTATGCTCCCCAAATATGTTAGCCTGATGTGAGCCAGTTCACCTCTGTCTAATGGCAAGGCTGGGTGCTTAGCCAATAGGAAAAATACAAGGTTGTCTCTAATGCATGTCCTACTCAGAGTAGACCCATTGAGATTAATAGACATAATTAACTTAGGCTGCTCACTATTTAAGTAAGCCTATTCTGAGTAAAACCTAGTTGGAGACAACCCATTATGTCCAACAAATATTTCCTCTTGTTGACAATCTGTACCAGTCTGTTTATGGAATATATATACCTTATTTGATTTCAGGTTTCCTACATGTCCCTTCTGAGAGCAGGAATAATAAGATATTCACCTGGTTAGCTAAGGATTAGAATGGAGCAGTGTGTGTTTAATTAGGTTTTGGAGAGCTTATTTGACTCTTAAGGACCACTACCAGGGGAGAAAAAATATCACATACATACACAACTTTGAAAACGAGGAAGAGAATAAGGGCAGTGCATTGCAGAAAGCTGTTCCTTCTAAATATGAAAATATAATAACTGATCTTACATCTGCGAAGAGGGGGCTGGGAATTATTTGCGGCTTTGGGACAGGTCATCTAATCTGTTTGCTTGAGAAGATCTGCCCTTCCACAGACTCAGCTTGTCGGTGGATAATTACCCCTCACAGATCATTGTCTCCATGTTTTACACTGAGACCATTGTTGTGAAAGGGTAACACCCAGAATCAAAGGAACGATAACATGAGCATTAACACAGGTGAAGTTGAAAGATTCCTGGACACCCATCCAGATTTTGCTAGGGAGTATTTTGAGAAGAAAATGGGGAATGGGACCCCGGTTGCCACGACAAATAGCCACCAACGCTTGGAAGAGTTCACTGGGCTGCGCCAGGAGGAGGAGAGCGAAGCGTTTTTTGAGCTGATCCAAGACATGCAGGAGAGCATCAACATGGAGAAGGTCGTCTTCAAGACCCTACGGAGAATCAGTGCCCTGATCCATGCCGACCGGTGCAGCCTCTTCATGTTCAGGCAGCGAAATGGCACCCCTGAGCTTGCAACCCGGCTGTTCAACATTCATAAGGAGAGCGCACTAGAAGAATGCTTGGTAGCCCCTGACTGCGAAATTGTCTTCCCTTTAGACATTGGTGTCGTGGGGCACGTTGCGCAGACCAAGAAGACTGTGAACATCCCAGATGTTGGTGAGGTAAGGCTACCAGTTTGTTTGCCAGTTTGTTTCTGGGACCAATTCAAGGTGCTCTCATTAGTACTACTTAAAGCCCTAAACGCCTTAGGCTAGGGTTACCGGACATCCCCATTTCCCGGGGACAGTCCCCGGATTTGCAAATAAGTCCCCAGACAAATTCCATCCCCGGATTTCATCTAATGTCCCCAGGAAATGCAGTCTCAGCAGCCCGGAGCAGTTGGATCTGGCTGGCTTCAGGAGCTGCTCGGAAGTCCCCATACGATGGTGGTGCAGGGGCTCTAAGATGCAGCTTCCGGGCTGCTTCCACCTTCCCTGACCCCGGCAACTAAGCTGTGAAGGGAGGCTTCGTGCTGCCTATTGGAGCAGCCTCCCAACTCCTACTTGCGTGCAAGCAGGAGTGGGGCGGGGATCTCTCCCTTCCCAGCTGAGGCCCCTGTCCACTGGCTGGGAGAAATCGGGGCGCCCTAGGATCAAGGCAGAAGCTGTAATGGTTTTAGTCATTCCAGGGCCATCCCGGCAAAATCGGGACTGTTGGAGGGTATGTTACAACCACCATAGAATTGCAAACATTGCCTCTTTCCAGAAATGTCTAAGCCAGCCTGCCTTCCAGCTTCAGGGACATGGGTGGTGCTGTGGGCTAAACCACCAAGCCTCTTGGGCTTGCTGATCGGAAGGTTGGCGGTTCGAATCTCCATTACAGAGTGAGCTCCCATTGCTCGGTCCCAGCTCCTGCCCACCTAGCAGTTTGAAAGCACACCGGTGCAAGTAGATAAAAAGGTTCCACTGCGGTGGGAAGGTAAACAGCGTTTCCATGCGCTCTGCTTTCCATCACAGTGCCCCCTTATGCCAGAAGCGGTTTGGTCATGCTGGCCACATGACCTGGACAAATGCCAGCACCCTCGGCCTGAAGCAAGATGAGCACCGCAACCCCATAGTCGCCTTTGACTGGACTTAACCATCCAGGGGTCCTTTAACTTTTTTAAAAAAACCTTTTTACTGTTCAACTCTTTCACCTGCAGTTTGCATTCAGACAAAATTTGTTTGAGCCCCCACCTCACCCAGCAGGTAGGTATGACCTGAATTCTTGATCCCGTCAATAATCAATCAGCTGCCTGCCTGAGAAAAGAAGCTTCAAAATAGGACAGTATGGTTGCACCAGGTCAAAGATCTGTTATGATTTCAGTATAATTTACTTATTGTATATGTTCTGTGATGAATGGAATGTAGAAAGGCTAGCCTATCTCAGACATCTCTACAGCTAGATGGGTTAGTTCAAACTTATAGCCTGCTTAATTTTGTAGTTAATTTTGTAATTATGCCACATCTGCCCTGGAGGGTCCCTCAACCTTCTGGAGTGGATTTAGGAGGTGGGGGCTGCAAGAGGGAGGGGGAATCACTCAAAATTGCTTACCTACTGTTCTGTTGATGAAAGCCTTACTATCAGCTAAGCGACACTGTCGGATATAACTGAAGGTTTTTGAAATAAGTGAAAATCCAGTATTACTGGAGCTCATTTCTAAGACTTTGTAAGCTTTCAGAAAACCGTTGTGATGGGCAAGTTAGACTTGTTCAATTTGCTGTGTGTTTTTCTGCTACTTTTAAGGTATTTGTGCATCATGTCATTTCTCTCTTACTCATTTTGAAAAACCTGAAATATAGCTGTTCGTAAAAAAATAAAAATTGTAATTTTTAATTAAAATCAACAGTGTGACCATTTTAGTACTTTTGTTGATGAACTCACTGACTACACCACAAGGAACATCCTTGCAACCCCAATCATGAATGGCAAAGATGTGGTTGCTGTGATCATGGCAGTGAATAAAGTCGGAGGTCCATTCTTCAGCAGTGCAGATGAAAGTGTAAGTATGTATACAACTTGTTAGGGAGAATCTCCTTGCCCATTAACACTGCCTATAAGCATTATAGCATTGCCACACCTTGTTGAACTGACTGAAGCTTTCTTAATGTTCCCAGATTTTCCTGAAGTACCTCAATTTTGCCTCTTTGAACCTGAAAATTTATCATCTGAGCTACCTTCACAACTGTGAAACTCGAAGAGGTCAGGTAAGGAAAAAAATATTTCTGAACGCAAGGTGTCTTTCCCCCACTCGGCCTAAACCTTCTTTAGATAAATAGCAACTGTTGTTTCTGCCCCTAATTTACCTGGTTTTCTTCTCCTACTCCTGCTTGTCTGAGGATGAGGGCCAATATTTTTTTAAGTCAAAAGCTGACATATTTATTTCCTGCACACATACACATTTTGAAATTTCAAACAGTGCTCCTGGAATCTGCTCTGTTGTCGAATCAACTAACATGTCGATTTGCTGTTCTGCAGGTTTTGCTGTGGTCAGCCAATAAGGTATTTGAGGAACTGACTGACATTGAAAGGCAATTCCACAAATCATTTTACACAGTGAGAGCATATTTGAATTGTGACAGGTATTCTGTAGGCCTTCTGGATATGAGCAAAGAAAAGGTAAGCTAAGTTTCTAAGATTTTTTAGTAAGAGTGGTAGAGAGCATGCTTTGCATGGAAAAGGAACCTAGTCCAGTCCTTGGCATCTCCAAAATTGTATTCAATGTACATACCTCCTCCTCCTCCTCCTCCTCCTCCTCCCTCTTTTGTAATAATGTCACACCTGGACATATTTAAATCATGGGAGGCATTCACTTTTTGTTTTGTTTTTTGTCTTCATATGGCCAAAACTGACCTTCTGTAATAATATTTATCTCCCTTTCCAGGAATTCTTTGATTTATGGCCAGTTCTAATGGGTGAAATTCCCTCTTACTCAGGACCTCGGACTCCAGATGGCAGAGTAGGTCTTTAAACTGATAATAAATATCTCGTTTCACCACTTGGTCACTCGCTATGAATTCCCATTTCTGTTCTATTTGTAGGAGATCATCTTTTATAAAGTCATTGATTATATCTTACATGGAAAGGAGGAAATCAAAGTCATCCCGTAAGTAAAAAAGAAATGACCTCATGGGCAGTGCAAAACTATTAAAAGTACAGGAGCCTTGTTCTCTTTTTCATCTGGCCACTTTATTTGCAAAATATATTTGTAAGACAACATTAGGAACTCTTATTGAATCATACCCCACAACTGTCCCAGGAAAAGCGGGACACACCATTTTTTCCACACAAGAGAACAGCAGCCATTTTGGATTCTGCAATTTCTCTGTGAAAAGAATACGGGGGGGGGGGGGCTGCGATCTCATGTGGGTCATGTGACTCACCCGTGAACATGGCCCAGAAAACATGCAACACGGTTTTTGGCCTGGATATGTTGGAGGGTATGAAATGTTAGAAGGGAAAGCATCGGGAGGCTGGGATTGCAGTAAAGTTCTTTAAGAATTTCAACATGAGTAATTTAAGTGTGTTCTGTTTGTAGCCAATCCTCATTTGATCAACGTTTTTGTGCATTTCCCTTTCCATTTAGAAATCCTAAGCCAGATCACTGGGCACTGCTTAGCGGCCTTCCAACATATGTTGCAGAAACTGGTTTCGTAAGTATTTACATTAGCATATTTCCATGATTCATCAAGACAACGTTGGCCAAGAGCTAAAGAACCATGGGATGACTTCCATGTGACCAAGAGAGCTTTGGGACTGGTTCTTCTCCAACAGCCCCTGCCCTGTGCCGCATAGCAAGTCGCCATCTTGAAATGAAGGATAGTTTCAAAAGTAGTTTGTGCTATGACCTGGAGGTTGTGCAAGATCTTGGGTGGTCTTGGTAGGAGGGCTTTGGATCAGATGACTTAAATAATTCTACGTTAGATTTAATTAACAGCATGTAAAAAAATACAGATGGAAACTAAACATTTCTGCATTTTTTTAAAGATTTGCAACATTATGGATGTAGCTTCGGATGAGATGTTTACGTTTCAGGTACTGTAAATGTGTGATTGCAGCTGTTCATGAGGGGTCCCCCATTGGTGTATCTTGGGAAGAAGGAATGGATGCTAAATCCATTTAAGTTTGTAATGCAGAGCTGTGCCCCTAGCTTAAATATGGTACTGTCCATACGACATCCTCCTTTACCTTGGGTGATGTCAGGGAACTGCCATCAGCTCAGAGGTGAGAGGTGGAAGGGCAGCTGGATTACAGAGAGCCTCCAAAGATCGTGGGAAGCAGCACTTCCTCAGCAGAGGAAGGAAGCCCTGCCTCTAGTGGGGAAGAGCTGCAGGGCTCGGAGGATGCAAGAAAGAGCCAAGCGCCTGAGCAAAGCGGGGAGGAGGGAGGTCCCCCTTTACCCAAGCCTTCCTTGCGCAGTAGGCTTTCATGCAGAGAGGGGAGGCGTCGGCTGGGGGTCAAGAGACTACTCTGCTGGGGAAAGTTTAAGGACCGCCCACTCTCAGATTCTGCTAGTGAGTGAGCAAGACATGGAATAGAGGCATTCTGCATTGTAAATGTTTTTGCACCAATAATAAAGCATTTGAAAAGACCAGTGAGGGATCTTGCCTGATCGCTCTCGAGCAACCACACCGATAGGCATAACAGGTGAGTAATAACATTACTATTATATTGAGACAATGTGCCATTTATAGTGACACATACTTTGTATGTTGCTTTAAGGAAAGTCCTGTTGATGAGTCAGGGTGGATCATCAAAAACGTTCTCTCCATGCCAATAGTCAACAAGAAGGAAGAGATTGTTGGTGTAGCCACCTTTTACAACAGAAAAGATGGGAAGCCCTTTGATGAACAGGATGAAACATTAATGGAGGTGGGTTTCTTTATTGGAGCTGGAATTGAAAACAGATGTTCTTTTGCCCCATCTTTTTGTGCCTGCCAAACAGCCGTGTCATGCTTATGATAATATTTTATTCTCTTGTTAATTATGCTGTTTTAGATGTGCATTTTATATTTGACTTCACTTAGCAATTTTTTGTGTGGGTTTTTTTGTTGTTAACTTTGTTTGTGTTAAATATGTATTCCGCAGTTGACCTCCTTTGTAATGTTTTCTTTTGAAATCTTTAAGACAATATTTTAGTTTTCCGTTAATTATGTTGCTTTGACAGATTGGTTTGTTGATATTTTATTGGCGTTTTAATATGCTGCAAACCGCTTTGAGATTTTTCTTAAAAATATAAACTGGTGTAGAAATGAAATAAATAATAATAATAATAATAAAAAGACAGTTGATTGCAAAATACGAACACAATTCTGCAATAAACCAACAGAGATAATCTTGTACTAGCTTTAGGTTCCTACTCCATGCAGTATGCAAATAAATAGCTACTTGATGTATGGAGCTAGCCTCCATTTCTTAAATGGTTGGTCTCCCACTTCTTCTTTTTATGCTACTTCCATCAGTACCCAACTCTGCTACAAATCCATTTTACCTACAAGTTGTATCTCTCTCACACACCTTTAGGCCACACTTGAACTGGCTTTCTGTACCCTACCGTGCTCATTTAAACCTCCTCCTTGACTTGAGATAGTTACTGATTCTCCCCACCTATTGTATCATCTTTTGCTTTCTCCGGCTCCTCTCCTCTTTGATTGTCTACAATTAAACTTTGTTCCAAATCCATGGTTTTATTATGTGCATTCCCCTTAGCTTCTTCTCCATATCATCTTCAAAAAGTTGTCAAAATAGCCTTCATCAACCAGGAGCCCTCAATATGTGTTTGGACTGTGTTGCCGAACAACATCTGGAGGGCACTGGGTTGGCAAAAGCTGCTCTAAAGCCTTATCTCTTTCTTCTTAGATTGTATCATTCAGAGGCGGATTTAGGGCTGCACAACCGGTTCCACCACACAGGGTACAAGAGCCAAGGGGGCATCTTCCTGCCTTCTTCCCAAAGGCTAGCAAATGCTGGGCTTTGGAAAGAAGGCCTGAAGGCTCTGACAGTGTCTTTGGGTCCTCCTGTCACCTTCCCAACGCCCAGGTAGCACTTGCCTAGCTTTGGGAAGCAAGCAAGAGGGCTCTAGGACCCTGAGCCTCCCTCCCAAAGCCCAGTGCCTCCCTCACCAGGCTGTGAGAAAGCAGTTTTGGGTTGTGGGGGGGAGAGCATCAAATTTTGGCCTTGCACAGGGCACCATATTACCAAGGTCCACCTCTGTATCATTCCCTCCAGTAATGGGTTTGTAGTTGTTCTGTTTAATTTGCTGCTGGGTTTGGTTTTTTTACAGAATTTTTGTTTTTAAAATTATGATATTCCTAGTCTGTTTTTAACCTGTGGTGTTAGCCACCTTGGCCGTTTCCTTGACTGTAGGAAGGCAGAATAAAAATCCTAGTAATAGTTAATAAACATATACATATCACCAGTGTATTAGTACTGTTCTTTAAGAGGCATCACTGAGATCTGGGAGAGGTAGAAGGGCCAACTCCTGTGCAGTTGTAATAGTAACTTTTGTTTTATTTCCCAAGTCCTTGACACAGTTCCTGGGCTGGTCTGTCCTCAATACTGATACCTACGATAAGATGAACAAGCTGGAGAATCGAAAGGATATAGCACAGGACATGGTGCTCTACCACGTGCAATGCGACAAGAACGAAATGCAAGCAATACTGGTATGGTTTTTAAAGCCCTTGGTTTTTTTCCCCCTCACTCCAAAACCACTTGTTAATATTTTAAACATTCAAATCCAGGCTTCTCCCCATTTCGACTGTTGCCAATCAGTTGAAATTAGTGTTCTAGGACCCCCCTCCCAATTTTTTACTTTTTTGGGAAACCGGTGTTGCTTTCATCATGCCACAAAAACTGGCAACACTGAAATAGAAACTCACACATCCATGAGCCCTGATCTTGCAACCACATGACAGATATCCAAGTAACACACAAATATATATAATAAAGATTTTTGGTTTTGTTCTTTCACCGGAAAGCAGCATCAGAAGCCTGCAGTTTTGAGCAGAGTAGGGGGAAGTGGAAATGGCTGCCCCTTTCATGTTGGCCGCCCTCCTAATTAAATCACCCCCACAAACTGCTTTGCCCCCCCCCCCAGCCACCTGGGTTCTAGATGCATATGTACCTTTCCCTAGAACCCTGACATGGGGAAGGCATCTTGGGTGGCCAATTTTGAGTGAGAAAATGGTTGGCGGAGAGAGGGATAAACAACAAGCCCTCCTTCCCTGCTATTCCTCCATTCAAAGTGTACAGGCTTGTGAGGCTGCTTTTCAATTATGTGTAATTTACCCCTTGAAAAGAATATTTGCTTCAATGCTGCAGACGGAAGGATTGAATATACTTCCCAAGTAGGGACGAGGAAGACATGTAGAGGGAGAGAGGGCACCTTTGTAATAATTTGGATGCTTAAATTGCTTTTAAAGTGTTATGTAAATTTGCATGAGGAAGAGTTGTCAAGTCTCACTCTTTAAAGTACAGTAAGCACCTTTAGGGACGCGGGTGGCGCTGTGGGTAAAACCTCAGTGCCTAGAATCATAGAATCAGAGAATCATAGAGTTGGAATAGACCACAAGGGCCATGGAGTCCAACCCCCTGCCAAGCAGGAAACACCATCAGAGCACTCCTGACATATGGTTGTCAAGCCTCTGCTTAAAGACTTCCAAAGAAGGAGACTCCACCACACTCCTTGGCAGCAAATTCCACTGTCAAACAGCTCTTACTGTCAGGAAGTTCTTCCTAATGTTTTTTTTTTTTTTCCAAATAAATTTTTATTATTAGTTTGTTTCAAACAAAGAAAAAAAAAGAAAACCAAGAAAATAAAAACGACAAACAATAATAACACACAAACAAATAACCATAATAAATAAGAATATCACATTTAAATTTAAAATTTAACAATACCATCTCTTTCCAGACTTCCTTCAGCTTATCCGTAAATCCTTCGTAGTAATAGTTTAAGTTACGCATTTCCTAATTTATATTGACTTTTTTTATAACTCTTTCTTACTATTCTCTTTAGACAATAATTCTTAGTCTTTCACAGTACTTCTTTAAACCCCGTTAACGTTATTTGTCCCTCACTTATATATTCCAGATAGTCGACGAGTTTTCCCCACTCTTTAATATACTTTTGATCTCTTATATATCTAATCTTTCCTGTCAATTTATCCATCTCCGCATAATCTAACACCTTCGTTCTCCACTCGTCCACAGTCGGTATCTCCTGTTGTTTCCATTTCTGGGCTAATATCACCCTTGCTGCTGTTACGGCATAATATACAAATTTGCGGTCCTTCTTTTTTATTTCATTCCCAAGTATTCCTAGCAGAAAAATTTCTGGTTTCTTTCTAAACGTATACTTTAAAATTTTCTTTAATTCAGTATATATTTTTTCCCAGAAATCTTTCACTTTGCTGCACTCCCACCACATATGGTGGAAAGTGCCCTCTTTATCTTTACACTTCCAGCATTTGTTGCAGACCTTATACATTTTCGATAATTTCACAGGTGTTATATACCACCTGTAGAACATCTTCATGATATTTTCTTTACCGCCATAGATGCTGTAAAGTTTAGCCATTCCTGCCAGAGTTTCTCCCAGTCCTCAAATTGTATATTATGTCCTAAGTCCATAGCCCAATGAATCATTACCAATTTGACCTCCTCGTCTTTTAAATTCCAATCCAGCAATATCTTGTACATTTTAGAAATTATTTTCACATCATTCTCTATGATCTCCCTTTGGAATGTAGAGTCTTTGTCCGCATAGCCAAGTTCCTTACTGTCCTTCCTAAACATTTCTTTGATCTGAAGATAATGTAGCCAGTCATATACATATTCTTTGACCTGTTCATAAGGTTTCATTTTCCATTTCCCTCCTTCCTTAACTAATAGTTGGCTGTATGTTGCCCATTTGTTTTTCATATTAATTTTCTTCACACTCAGCACTTCTAAAGGTGATAGCCAATGTGGCACTTTAAATTCTAATAGATTTTTATATCTTTCCCATACTTCAATTAGTGAACCTCTGAAGATGTGGTTTTTGAATCCCTTATGTACTTTCCTTTTCTCATGCCAGAGGTACGCATGCCAACCGAACCGGTTGTCGAAGCCTTCTAGATCAAGTAATTCATTATTTTCTAACTTAACCCAATCTTTTAGCCAGCAGAGGCATGCTGCCTCGTAATATAATTTCAAGTCTGGCAGGGCAAAGCCTCCCTTTTCTCTTAGATCTGTTAACAACTTAAATTGGATTCTTGGCTTTTTGCCCTGCCATATGTATCTTGAAATCACTCTTTGCCATTCCTTAAAGACTTTATTCCCCCTAATTATGGGGATAGACTGAAATAGAAACAGCAGCCTTGGTAGCACGTTCATCTTGACTGTATTAATCCTTCCCCAAAGTGACAATTTCAATCTCCCCCATACCTCTAGGTCTTTCCTTATTTCGTTCCAAACTAAATCATAATTGTTCTTATATAGATCTATATTTTTAGAGGTCACCCAGATTCCTAGATATTTAACTTTCTTAGCCACCTCTATCTGCGATTGTTGTTGTATTATTTCTATTGCCCTTGGGTCCATATTTTTAACAATCATTTTGGTTTTCCTCTTATTCAATTTGAAACCTGCCACCTCACCAAACTGTTCCATTTCCTTTAGCACTTCCTCTACCGTTGTTGTTGGGTCTTCCAACGTTATTACCAGATCATCTGCGAAAGCTTTGATCTTATACTCACTTTGGCCGATTGAAACTCCTTTTACTTTCTTATTTTGTCTAATTGAATTCAGCAGGACTTCTAGCACCGTTATAAATAATAGTGGGGAGAGTGGGTGATTGCTGAGGCAAAGCAGCAGAGCCACACAGTTCTTTGTATGGAAAGTGAATCATAGAATCATAGAATAGAATCATAGAATCATAGAGTTGGAAGAGACCACAAGGGCCATCGAGTCCAACCCCCTGCCAAGCAGGTAACACCATCAGAGCACTCCTGACATATGGTTGTCGAGCCTCTGCTTAAAGACCTCCAAAGAAGGAGACTCCACCACACTCCTTGGCAGCAAATTCCACTGTCGAACAGCTCTTACTGTCAGGAAGTTCTTCCTAATGTTTAGGTGGAATCTTCTTTCTTGTAGTTTGAATCCATTGCTCCGTGTCCGCTTCTCTGGAGCAGCAGAAAACAACCTTTCTCCCTCCTCTATGTGACATTCTTTTATATATTTGAACATGGCTATCATATCACCCCTTAACCTCCTCTTCTCCAGGCTAAACATGCCCAGCTCCCTTAGCCGTTCCTCATAAGGCATCGTTTCCAGGCCTTTGACCATTTTGGTTGCCCTCCTCTGGACACGTTCCAGTTTGTCAGTGTCCTTCTTGAACTGTGGTGCCCAGAACTGGACACAGTACTCCAGGTGAGGTCTGACCAGAGCAGAATACAGTGGCACTATTACTTCCCTTGATCTAGATGCTATACTCCTATTGATGCAGCCCAGAATTGCATTGGCTTTTTTAGCTGCCGCGTCACACTGTTGGCTCATGTCAAGTTGGCTCATGTCATGCCTAGGACTTGCCGATCGCATGGTCGGCAGTTCGAATCCCCGCGGCGGGGTGCGCTCCCATCGTTCGGTCCCAGCGCCTGCCAACCTAGCAGTTCGAAAGCACCCCCGGGTGCAAGTAGATAAATAGGGACCGCTTACCCGCGGGAAGGTAAACGGCGTTCCGTGTGCTGCGCTGGCTCGCCAGATGCAGCTTGTCACGCTGGCCACGTGACCCGAAAGTGTCTGTGGACAGCGCTGGCCCCCGGCCTCTTAAGTGAGATGAGCGCACAACCCTAGAGTCTGGCAAGACTGGCCCATACGGGCAGGGGTACCTTTACCTTTACCTTTATGCACCTATATATATATGCACAGAGAAAGTTGGTCTCTGTGACTATGTACACATTTCCATTTACTCCAGCTCCACTGCCCTCCAACTGCTGTGGACACATTAAGTTTGAAGCTGTGGACACATGATGTTAGCCACAATCCATATTTATCCTGTTGTTTCTTGAGAACGGCTCCTGTCTTATGCGTTTTCCCTCACACCATCTGATTTGAAAATGTAAGCCACATTCACTTCACAGTTCAGCTGAGGTGTGTACATTTGAGACAGCTGCTGCACATGCTCAGTGGGCTACTTCCTGAGTAGGAGTTCAGGGAGTCTTACAGGCACAGGGAAAACTAATGTGTACATTAGCCTTTGCATGAGTGGTATTTCAGACACTTGTCAGTAGGTGCCAGAATGACATTTGCTCAGCAGCCTCACACACTCTGTCACCAGTAGCATCCTTGTAGCATTAGATCTGCCTTAGGCACCAAAAAGTCTTGGCCCATCTCTGAGTGCTGTCAGCCATAATTCAGCTTGTATATGTCTCCACAGCCGACACGACAGAAACTTGGGAAAGAGGTCGCTGAGTGTGATGAGGAAGAGCTGGCTGCAGTTCTAGTGAGTGTCCACGTGGTTTGTTCTGGGTTAATACCCTTCTTTTGAAATTTCACAGTTAAACTTTCTCCCCTGCCAAAGTCATACAACGGAGATTATAATATAATCAGGGGAAACATCTCCCCCGGCACAGCTGGGTGTGCAGGGTGTATCAGCAGAGTCCAATATCAAAGAATATGATCAATACTATTGGGATGGCAAAAGTGGTGTTGTCTCCCAGCTCAGCTCCTGGCAGCTGGTCAATTTTTATGTAAAAAAGCAAAATTGATTTTTAGTGTGGGATTTCCCCAACCAGCTCTGTCAGCAGAAGGACTTCTGCTTGCTTCCTCCTCTCAAAAAACCCTCAAAAATTGGCTTGGGGGATCTGGAAGAATCCTCAAAACACTGTGGGGGGAGAGGGGAGGGTGTGTTGTTCTGTCTTGCAAGATTGAATGCTTGTGCAGATGGAACGATTGGAAGAACGCAACACTTATCTCCCCCTGTAAAAGAAGAATAGAAGGGAGGGAAAGTTGTTCCTTACTTTAATGTTACTTCTTGGTTAAGTGTTGGTTTCATTATCTATCTTTTTCACTCACACAGAGGTTGGGCTATGTAGCAAATTGCACACTTTGGGCTCCTAAGAATACAGGGTAACTAAACTTCCAGTAGCTACTTCAATTGCTGGCATCTCTGAATAAACCAAAAGTGGTATTGACACAAAATCATAAAACAGGAAAGCAGAATGAGTGATGTGTCTTAGATCCCAAGACCAGTTTGACTCTCAGGCTATTAGTATTGTATATATTTATTAATGAAATTTGTGCAACAAACGTTATTTGGGCAACCCCATAACAAAGTTCTCTAGGCAGCCTACAAGAAATATCCATTGGCCGAAAGAGAATCTCTGGCAATTGATTTAGCTCCTTTGTATAAGCAAAATTTGCCCTCCATCACAGCAGTAAGCAGCGCCAACACAAATATTATTGTGTCAATCACATATGGGCGCATAAAAATAATTAGCCCAGCAGCTGCAGTTCGGGAGATCTTTGAGAAATTATTGGTACTTGGTCAGTAGAACTTGCACCATTTCAACCAATGCTGCAATTCTCCCCCTGCTCCAGAAAGAACAACTTCCGGATCCTGCACAATTTGAGATCTATGCTTTCCACTTTTCTGATTTGGAATGGACTGAACTCGACCTTGTGAAATGTGGCATTCAGATGTTTTATGAACTTGGAGTGGTGAAAAAATTCCAAATTCCACAGGAGGTAAGTGACAACTTTAATCTGTGGGCTAATTCTCTCAGTTGTCCACATGTGGATATTGTATGCTGCATATATTTTCCTTTGACCTGTTGTTTGTCTGTAACGTATTTTGGTCCCTTGACTATTAAATCCTGATTGATTGACTGGCATCTGCCCACTTCTCCCAAGCTCCAGAAAATCCATCAGATAGCAGCAGCAGCAACCTGCACAAGGAACCCACACTCTGGTAGAGACTTGCAGCCATTTGGGGGCTGCGATTCTTTCCTCTGAGACCTGATGTGGCCCCAAAATTTTGCAATTAGAACATCTGAGGTCTAGGGAAAACTTGTATATACTTTCCCCTCTCCTTAGTAACGTTCATTTAATTTATTGCAATGAAAACTTTGCTTAGCAGGCAGATTCCAAAAATACTCCAGAAAGTGAGCCAGTGGTTTGTTTGTTTGTGAGCCCCCACCCACCCCTCATATTTTATGACAACTATCTCATCTGTTTCTGGCTGCAAAGTTTTCAAAACCTGTGCTTACTAAAGTTCTGTTTTTACAGGTCCTGGTGAGGTTCATATATTCCGTCAGCAAGGGTTACAGAAGGATCACCTATCACAACTGGCGCCATGGCTTCAATGTTGCACAAACCATGTTCACACTTCTCATGGTATCTCGGTCTTTACTGATGTTTTTCCTTCCCAAGATGCTGTTTCAGCTGAGATCAACTGCCCTTTCTTTACATGACTTTTATCCTCCCATCCCCTTGACTTAGACTGCCTTTGTCCTTAAATGAACAAAGAAGAAGTCTTACTGCAGGAAGAGTTATCAGCCTTTTCTGATGGTTTGCATAAGAGACTGTTTGTCTGTTTTTGCAGAATTTCAATCCCACTCTTCAGCCCCAAAAGCTCCCAATGTGGGAGCTTAGAGCCCATACTGTCAGGTTTACACAGTGCTTCTCCCCCCCCTAAAAAAAATGTTTAGGGGTACTCTCATTTTCCTACTCATATTGAAATACTGCCCCTCAATGAGGCCAAACATAGATGCACAAAAATGTTTTGGGGTATGCATACCCCTGCGTCCCCCAGGGAAAAAAGCACTGGGTTTGCAAACTAAAGCACACACACACACACACAACACGAAAGGAAAGTGGGTTGTGTCTTTTTTGTGAGGGGTGGGGAATAAGCAAACTCAGGCGCAAGTTCTTGGTGACAAGGTCTTCTAATGATCAGTTAGGGTAGAAAAGTTCAAGGTGCAAAAGTTGCTGGTCTCTCAGCTGTTATGAGTGTTCCTGTATCTGTGCTTCTCCCTAAACATCTGCAGCAACTTCTAGCTAATATTTTCGGCCTTTGCTGTCCTATCTATGAAGCACTTAAGAACTCAGAAGGGACTGTGGAATCAGTTTATACAGCCAGTGGAATCAAACAGTAAAAAAATTCCTGGGCTATATACTACTTCACACCACAGGTGGAGGGATTAAGGATTGTATATTTGGATGCTTTTCACTTTAAATGCATCTTGCATTCCAAGTTCAAATTTTAGTTCTGTATCTGCCTAGTAGAATAGGTTTTTAACTACAGTGGTACCTCGGGTTACATACGCTTCAGGTTACATACGCTTCAGGTTACAGACTCAGCTAACCCAGAAATAGTACCTCGGGTTAAGAACTTTGCTTCAGGATGAGAACAGAAATTGTGCTCTGGCGGCCCGGCGGCAGTGGGAGTTCCCATTAGCTAAAGCGGTGCTTCAGGTTAAGAACAGTTTCAGGTTAAGAACAGACCTCCGGAACAAATTAAGTACGTAACCGAAGGTACCACTGTACTAGTATGTAGCAATGCCAAGTGAATTTTTTGCTAGAAGCACTAATCAAAATCTGTGATCCTTACACGGTGTAGACAGGCAATCTGAAGCAGTACTACACAGATCTTGAAGCGCTTGCAATGGTGACTGCGGCTTTGTGTCATGATATTGACCATCGAGGGACCAACAATCTTTATCAGATGAAGTAGGTTCTATTGTGCTGGTGTTTGATGTGCGTGAGGTTTTTAAAGTATACAAAGTCTAGCCCAGTGTTTCCCAACCGGTGTTCCGCGGCACACTAGTGTGCCGCGAGACGTTGCCTGGTGTGCCGTGGGAGGGAGGCGGGCGAGTCGGGCGACGAGAGGCGGGGCGGCGGCGGCGAGGATCCGCGTCGAGCCGGGGGCGGCTCCGCGGTGGTGGTGCCGAGGTTTCTCTCTCCATTCTCCCCTCACACACACACACAGGAAATAACACAGGATCAGCTGACAGGACCCGGCCAATGGGGCAGCGGCGGGGCAGCGCGCGCAAAAGGGAGGAGCGCGAGACAGCGGACGAGGAGGAGGCCGGCATGTCCGGGCAGTAGCAGCAACAACAGCAGCAGCAACTCCCGGCGACGGCTCCTCAAGCCCCGGGCAACCCTACTCCCTCACCGGCCTCGGCCGCCCTCCTGCTCCACCCGCCGCCGCCTCCCCCGCCGCCGCCGGCCACCTTGGCCCCGCCGCCGCCCCCTCCTCCGCCCGCTATCGCCGCCACCACCACAACAGCCGCCGCCTCAGCTGGGCCCATGCCTGCCGGGAGCGGCGGCGGCAGCAGCAGCAGCAGCGCCCCGGCGCCCTTCCCTCACAGCGGCAACCCGGCCCTGAACGAGCAGGAGAAGGAGCTCGTGCGTCCCTCCCGGCGTGACGCTGCACGCTGACGTCACGGGGCTGTAATGGTGGTGTGCCTCGATATTTTTTTCATCAAACAAGTGTGCCTTTGCCCAAAAAAGGTTGGGAAACACTGGTCTAGCCAGCTTTCAAAGAATTTTAAATATTTGTGTTAATTCTTTACTGTCTGCAGTTTTAGATATGATTTTATTGTTCCTAATTGATATACCTTTCTGTTGATTTTTGTTGTTGTAAATTGCTGTGAACCTCTCTGGAATTAACAATGAAGCATAGTCTGAAAGTGTGTTGAGAAGAATACATCTATCATAGCTCAGGGACACAGTTTCAGCTGGCCAGATGGAAGGAGGTGAAGTGTAGGCAGGTACCCACAGGCAAGACACAGTGATAACAGCAAAGAACCTTTATTGAACTAACAGAACTCGACAACAGGGGCAAAGCAACTGCTTATATACATTTCTGAAGGCCCGGGCCACTCCCACTCCCAACGTGATTGGCTGTTTAAACTTCCAAGCTGCGAATCATGACTCAGAGTTTAAGGACAAATGGCAGAGGCCCAAATCCTGAAATGTTCTGTGACTGGATAGGTAAAGGTAAAGGGACCCCTGACCATTAGGTCCAGTCGTGACCAACTCTGGGGTTGCGGCGCTCATCTCGCTTTACTGGCCGAGGGAACCAGCGTACAGCTTCCGGGTCATGTGGGCAGCATGACTAAGCCACTTCTGGCGAACCAGAGCAGCACACGGAAACGCCGTTTACCTTCCCACCAGAGTGGTACCTATTTATCTACTTGCACTTTGATGTGCTTTTGAACTGCTAGGTTGGCAGGAGCAGGGACCGAGCAACGGGAGCTCACCCCGTTGCAGGGATTCAAACCGCCAACCTTTTGATCGGCAAGTCCTAGGCTCTGTGGTTTAACCCACAGCGCCACCCGCGTCCCTTCTGTGATTGGATGCCATGTATCAAATCAGAACACAGGAGCTCAGAATACTTAGTCCAGACTCAAGCTCAGGCAAACACAGACCACTGAATACATAACAGGAGGCGTGGGGAGATTGTTCAGGTGCTGTTCTGTGGATTCTCCTCACTGAGCCAATTTGGGAGGGGAAACCCCATTGCTCAAGCAGAAGTCCTTGCACGGGCTTCCATGGACAGTATTCTGGCTCTTTGCACATCACTTTCACCGTCAAGCTCTTCTTGAAAAGAGCTTAAACTCACAGTTTAAGAAACGGAAATATCTGGTTGCTATTTTTGTTTTGTTTCTCAATAACATTTTGCACACTAAGCTTTGCTTTTTGTTTCTAACTATCCCCTTTCAATTTTGTCCTTCGGAAATATTTCCTAATAGATCGCAACACGCGTTAGCCAAACTTCATGGTTCATCCATTCTAGAGAGACACCACTTGGAATTTGGCAAGTTTCTACTCTCAGAAGAGGTTTGTGGTCCATACTTTTCATACCGCATATTAGGAGAAATGCTGATTAGATTTCACATAGGTTTTTTAGTTTTTTAAACTACAGACTGATGTGGAAATAAGGAGAGCTGAACTTAACAGTGGGGAAATGAGAAACCGAGAGAAACCAAAACTGACAGATTTCTCTCTATGTGAGACAAAGTATTAGGGGGAAAGATGTAGATATCCAAAATGATGCATGACAGACGAATTCTAGTCTTCCACTCTGATTTATGCATTCCCCCCTCTTTAGTCTCTGAACATTTACCAGAACCTTAACCGGAGGCAATTTGAACACGTGAATCACTTGATGGATATTGCCATTATAGCTACGGACTTAGCATTGTACTTCAAGTAAGTTATTAATAGATTTGCTACGGAAATTCAAGATGGTGGATATTTTCCTTCAAAGTATTAATTTATATTCTTATGGAGAAGGAAGCAGAACAAACTGAGGATGGGATATAGGATTGGCCTCCGCCCTGGCATCGTATCTCAAGTGCCCACACAGTCTATTTAGGAGATACACTACAGTTCTTTTTCTTCCAGGGACAATTGTCCCCCGGCTGTTGCTGGCAAAACAACACACACACACCACAAAAAGGGAATGGGAGGGGTGGAAGGGTGATTGCTGAGGTAAAGCAGCAGAGCCACACAGTTCTTTGTATGGAAAGTGGTTTATTTGCTTTGGTTCAAGTTAAAGCCAAGGATAGGAAGACAACTCTTAAAAACTTCCTACGTGCATCCAGTTAGCCTGCAGAAAATATCCTGTTGGCTTTCCATTTTAGAGACAATCTGGTCTGGTCTACAACAACAAAGCATATAAAAACAAACAGCAGTAAAACACTGCCATTTACTGCCTTTGAGTAATAATAATAATTTATTATTTATACCCCACCCATCTGGCCGGGTTTCCCCAGCCACTCTGGGCGGCTTCCAACAAAGTATTAAAATACAGTGGTCTGTTAAACATTAAAAGCTTCCCTAAACAGGGCTGCCTTCAGATGTCTTCTAAAAGTCTGGTAGTTGTTCTTCTCTTTGACATCTGGTGGGAGGGCATTCCACAGGGGGGTGCCACTACCAAGAAGGCCCTCTGCCTGGTTCCCTGTAACTTGGCTTCTCGCAATGAGGCAACCGCCACAAGGCCCTCGGTGCTAGACCTCAATGTCCGGGCAGAATGATGGGAGTGGAGACACTCCTTCAGGTATACTGGACTGAGGCCGTTTAGGGCTTTCAAGGTCAGCACCAACACTTTGAAATGTGCTCGGAAATGTACTGGGAGCCAATGTAGATCTTTCAAGACCAGTGTTATGTGGTCCCGGCGGCCACATAGTGGCCGACTAGTGTCCAGATAAGGTTTCTGTCCAATGCTAGGACAGTCCCAGGGACAAAACCTTATCTAATACAGTGAAGGGAGTTTTATCTCATAGGTTCTTTCTCATTCTTCTGATCTTTGTGAGTGTATCTTGGAAGAAAGGTGAGAGATAAGGAGAAAATGTGGTATATGAGTTAACTATGGCTATACCCACTGCTTCCCCACCCTCCATAAAAATGAGGTGCCAATATTTGTATACTGATAAAAGTGCCACCAGCACAAAATGGCTCCCCTAGACAGCAAAAAAACTAATGGCAATCCATACCCGTGAGTATCATCACAAAACATGCACAGGATTTATCTAAGGAAAGTGAGATAAGCCCATAGGGAAATTCTTTTGGAGGACACCACTTACACGCCCTCTTTACTTACTCAAGGATGTTACTCATCTTCCAGAAGTAACTTGAGTGATTAAAAACACACACCTTGAAGAGCTTTTGTTCTTAGTATTGGGCTATCGAAAGGTGATATGAATTCATATCAAGGCATAGAAAGGGTTTAACCTTCTTTCGTTTCCTATCTGCAACCTTGTTTTGTTTTTTAAAGAAAGAGGACCATGTTTCAGAAGATTGTTGATGAATCCAAAACCTACAACAGTGAGAGAGAGTGGGTTGAATATTTGTCCTTGGAGACAACGAAAAAAGAGATTATCATGTAAGTGATTTTTTTTTATCAAAACGAAACAAAAACGGTTTGCCTGAACAAATGAGTGACAATGAGCAACCATGATACCTGTTTCATATGCTAAATATTTATATTGAGGCAAGCTGTTCAGTAACATCCTGAGATGTTGCAAATTAACAGGCTGAAAGGAAAATAGCACGCTGTTGCATGAGAAGAACAAAGGAACATTTATTGTCTTTGCTGGCCAGACAGACAGGCTCAGTGGATTAGCATCTAACAGGACTGAGCACCCTCTGAAGAAGGGGGCTTCCTAATATACTTTCCCCTTATCTGTTAAGACTATACATATGCATGGAGTACCTTCCAATCATTTGGGAATAACGCCCTACTAATGATTCCATATAAGGACTCTGGTTAATTGTATATTAATTAAGCAAGCAAACAAAGGACTCTCTGAGCACCTTCAGGCAGCATGTGGGCCTCTTCTGTATTTTGCATACACTTTGGTATGTGGTAATAAAGGCCATTCCTGGTACCTTAAGGACAGAATGTCTCCTGATACAATAGGGCAACTCTTTGGTGCAAGATTAGCTGCAGGTCTCTAATTGCCACGTTGGAAAGGCAGATGATGCTCTTGAGACCACATAATTGGTGCATGCTACAGCAATAGATCATGGGGGGGGCAGGTTCCCAGGAAAATGCATTATTATGCTTTGGACCACAACCCCCCCCATAGATACCCTGACAAAGGAGCATCGGTATTCAATCCTTGTGGTAAGGACCTCCGATTTTTTTTCAGGAACTAAAGCACAACTTAAACACAATTTTGTTCACTGGGTTTGTTGGCATTATTATTTACATCTGCTTAAAGAGAACAAGGCGTTTGCTGTTTCATCTTCAGCCATGATCCATCTGTGCTGATTCAGCTGTTCCCTTGAATCTGAAAAAACCAGATTGAGGATACTCCACAAGGTGTCTAAATCTACTCTTCAAAGCTTTTAACGGTTCCCTCCCACTAGGGCCCATGCTCAGAGCAGAGTGTGCTTCTCAGGAATTGAAACCAATTGGATTAGATGAGCCATTTTAGCAGCAGCTAAGGAACCAGGAGCCCTTTAGGACTGGGGATTAAAAATGGAAGCTTTAAAGACATGGGCAGTGTGGCTAGCTGCTATATTAGCAACTACACTGCACGCACACACATGCACGCACACACACACACACACGAATAGCACATATATATAGGGTGGGTTTTGAGGCATGAAAGGAAATAACTGTGCCAGTGTTCCGCAGTGCATCTTATACATTAGATGCATAGGCATAAAATCTCACCCCCCTGTCTGTGCTACTAAGTCTTTTATAGGAACTATAAACCCAGGATTAAGGAGATTTGACTACAAGGTCAAAAGAGGCAATCGTGTTATCTAGACATATGACAGGCTTGCCGCAGCCAACTGTACCATCCCAACTAAATTTAATAAACATGATTTCAGGATAAAATGATACATATCTTGGTAGAATTCTGGGGTATAGAGCTGAATCAAGGATTTTTGCCGCCTGAGGCAAAGGACAAGATGGCTTCCCCTCTCCACTTCATGCACGGAAACCATCTGGACTGGTCGTTGAGTACAGTGGTACCTCGGGTTAAGGAATTCGTTCCGGAGGTCCGTACTTAACCTGAAACTTTTCTTAACCTGAAGCACCACTTTAGCTAATGGGGCCTCCTGCTGCCACCGTGCCGCCGGAGCACGATTTCTGTTCTCATCCTGAAGCAAAGGTCTTAACCTGAAGCACTATTTCTGGGTTAGCGGAGTATGTAACCTGAAGCGTATGTGTCAGGGGTTCAGGAGCAGAGGCAAGGGCAAGGGAGGAAACAGAGAGCGAGGGGGAGGAGGCAGAGGAGAAAATGAGTGATGACGACGACCCGAGATCTCCGAGTCTTCCCAGTGAATCAGACGATTCACAGGAAGGAGCACCAGTGGCCAGGGCAAAGGGGGAGACTAGGGGGACACCCCAGGAAGATAGAGCCAGAGGGGACTCAGAGGGGAGCAGTTGGAAATCGGGACCAGCGTCACCGCCAGAGAGCAGGGAAGAGGAAGGGCGCCAAGGATCAAGCGCTGGCAGCTCACAACAAGGGGGAGGGCACGAGTCAGGAGTGGCCACACCTCCATCGGGGAGCGAAGAAACGGTCAGACGGAAAGTGGCAGGTTGGGCGCGCGCGCCAAGTTCAAATGCACAGGAAGGTGACGCAGTGAGCAGCCCGGAAAGGGAGCCAGGTCCTAAAGCCCGGCGCAAGGAGACAGAAGGGTCCGGGGGGTCAGCGTCAGAAGAGTCCCGGAAGGAAGAGACCCAGGGGGGCAGAGGGACCCAGAGAAGAACAGTCAGGCGGAAAAGGTGGAGTAAGGCTAGGGTATTAAGTTGGTGTACAGGGGGCGGAGATTCAGACGGAGCTTCGCCGGTCTAGCCATAAGACGTAGAGTTGCACGCAGCAGCTTGAGAATGGAAACTGTAACTCAATAAAGACTTTTATTTTAATGATCGCTGGCTAGCGTGATCCTCTGTGAGCTAGGATCTGGAAGCGACTCTGACAGTAAGCTCCGTCTCCCTTTGTGGGCATCTTCAGCCTCGCGGACAGAGGAAAAGGGGGTGCCCACGACTCAGCTCACGAACGGCAGACAGGATGACGGCCGAAAAGCAGATAGGAGAACTCAGAGAAGCAGTGACACGGCTGAACGCCGAAATACTGGCATCCAGGAAGAGAGAGGAGGACGCAGCTGCCGCCTACAGAGATCTCCAGGTCAGGTTGGACGTGCTCACGAAGCAAGGGCAAATGACACCCAGACCGGAGGGGATTGGGTTGGGGCGAAGAGCAGGCGGTCTAGTCTCTCACTTCGATGGGAATTTACAACTGTACCCCAACTTTAAGGCAGATGTACAGTGTGCACTGCAACTGCTAGACAAAGACTTTAGAGATGAGCAAGAGAAAGTGGGGTTTATCATGTCCCATTTGCATGGAGACGCTAAAGCATGGCTGCGCAATTTGTGGAGAGATAAGGATCCAGCGCTCCAAACAGCGGATGCCTTCATTAAAGCGATGGATGGCTGTTTTTTATCTAGCATTGACGTGGATCTTGCCCGGAGGGAGGTGCATGGGCTGAAGCAAGGGAGGGCCAGCGTAAGACAGTACCAAGCCCGCTTTTTTGCTTTAGTCAGTGCCTTGGAATGGGACAGGGATTCCGCTCCAGTCAGAGATCTCTTTTGGGAAGGCTTGAACGGCCCAGTTAAGGACGAAATTGCCAGGGGGGAGAGACCCCGGACTACGCAGGAGGTCGTTCAAAGGGCGCTGGCAGTTGGAGTGCGGCTGGAGGAACGCCCATGGGGCAGGGACGAAGGACGTGGAGGGCGCGAACCAGCCAGGGGCTCCTCCTTCCTTCCCAGAGAAGCAGCGCGTGCGCAATCCACGCCTCCGCCAGGAGGGGGAGCGGAACCGATGGAGGTGGGAGGTGCAAGGGCTCAGTCAGCAGCCAGAGCCCTAGCACCGGCAGCAGTGAAAGCGAAGCCTCCTAGAGGGAACAGGAAGTGTTACATATGTGAGGATCCACAGCATATGGCGAAAGAGTGTCCCCGGAGGTTCCACAAGCACACTGCAGCCTCAGCTATGGTAACTGGCAGCAACGCAGAAAGCAGAACCACAGCAGGGAAACGACGGAGTCTGGCTGGAAGAGGCACTGGGGCCCAGCCAGACGGGTCAGTGAAGCAGTCCCCAGAGATTTTACAGCCCACAGACCCCCTCCCACCCAAGCCAGTGGTGAGGCTCACCGCGTCGCTCCAGCTGCCCAATGGACTCACCATTGACTCAGGAAGCAATGCGGACTTTATAGGGCAGGACTTTGTCGACCAGCACGCTATACAGTTGCTGCCTGCCACGCTGCCCCTGCAGGTTGTCACGGTGGATGGCAGGGAGCTGCTAGGGGGGCAAGTGGTGAAGCAGACGCCTCCAATGGTGATGCGACTTGGGAATCACAGGGAAGTCATCAGCTTCAACGTCACTCAGCTATCGGACACGCCCATTGTATTGGGCATGAGTTGGCTGGACAAGCACAGTCCGTCGATGGCTTGGAACCAGAGGCTGCTGACCTTCGGCTCTTCCTATTGTGCTGAACACTGCATCATGCCCCGGCAGGAAGGAGAGGAAGAGGAGTCACAGCTGCAGCTAGGCACGCTACAAGCGGTCCCCCACAAGTACGCAGAATTTTTGGAGGTTTTCTGCGAGAAGGAGGCAGACAGGCTACCCCCCCACAGACCATATGACTGCAAAATTGACCTGCTGCCAGGGGCGGCGCTGCCCAAAGGGAAGCTGTATTCCATGTCTGAGGACGAACTGCAGGAACTCAAAGAGTTCATAGATCATAATTTGGAGCGCGGTTTCATCCGAGAGTCCAAGGCAGCGGGGGGCAGTCCGGTATTCTTCGTTAAGAAGCGGGATACGCCCCAAAAGAGACTCGTAGTGGATTACAGGATTTTGAACAGTGTGACTAAGCCATCGGACTTCCCCATGCCCCGAATCGACGACCTCCTCGCAAAGGTACGGAAGGGCAGAGTGTTCACCAAGTTGGACCTGCGGGGGGCGTACAACCTCATTCGCATGCGGGAAGGAGATGAGTGGAAGACAGCCATGTTCACGCCCCTGGGCACCTACGAATATAGAGTTATGCCGTTTGGATTACAAAATGGCTCCCACGTTTTTCAAGCTTTCATGCATCACGTGTTGGCGGGGCTACTCTACAAGACGTGCGTCTGTTTCTTGGATGACATCCTGATCTTTTCGGAATCGCAGCAGGAGCATGACAGACACGTCAGGGAAGTGCTAAGCAGGCTGCAGCAACACAGGCTTTACGCCAAGCTGGAGAAGTGCCAATTCGACGTGACGGAGGTGGATTTCCTGGGCTACAAGTTGTCTGACAAGGGGCTCGCCATGGACAGCGCCAAGGTTCGAGCAGTGTTGGATTGGAAAAGCCCACGCAACCGGAAGGAGGTCCAACGGTTTGTCGGCTTCGCGAACTTCTATCGCAAGTTTATCAAAGGCTTTGCCATGCAGACAGCGGCCATCACGGACACGCTCAGTTCCAAGAAAAAGAAGTTCATCTGGACAGAGCAAGTGGAGCAGTCCTTTCAGGCACTCAAGCGTCTCTTCGCCTCGGAAGAGCAGCTGCTTCATGTCAACCCCAGCAGGCCGATGAGGGTGGAGACGGACGCTTCGGACAGAGCCGTGGGAGCAGTCCTGCTGCAGAAAGACCCGCACGGGGTTTGGCGGCCGGGAGCGTTTTACTCAAGGAAGCTCAGCAAGTCCGAACAGAACTACACCATCTGGGACAGGGAGTTGCTGGCCATTCATGCAGCATTCAAAGCGTGGAGGCACTTCCTGATCGGCGCCAAGCACACAGTGCAGGTCTGCACGGACCACAAGAATCTGGAGCACTGGCGCACGGCACAGTTCCTGAACCAGAGGCAAATACGTTGGGCTGAGTTCTTTGCGAACTTCGACTTCCGAATAGAGTATGTTCCGGGGGACACCAACATCATGGCGGATGCTCTCTCCCGGAAGCCACAGTATCTGGAGGAGGCGACGCCAGCGGCAGCCATGCACATCTTCGCACCGACAGTGTGGGCGTGCGCCGCGGCAACAGTTGACCTGGAGGCGGTGCGACGAGCGTTGCAGGATGACTCCTTCGCGCAAGCGAAGATGGCAGAGGTGCACAGGGGCACGGCAGCGAACGACGAGTTCCAGCTGCGAGATGGATTGCTCATCCGCAAAGGGGCCATCTACGTGCCGGGAGACGACCTTCGCGCCAAGGTACTGCAGCAGCTGCACGACGCGCCCACTGCCGGGCATTTTGGCAAGGAGAAGACGGCAGAATTAGTCGCCAGGGACTTCTGGTGGCCCGGAATGAGAAGGGAAGTCGCGGACTACGTGGCGAGGTGTGACACCTGCCAGAGGGCCAAACCAGTGCACAGACCGCCGGCCGGACTGCTGGAACCGCTGCAAACTCCGTTCGAACCATGGGAGAGAGTGGCCCTGGACTTCGTCACGGATCTGCCCAGCTCGAGGGGCAAGACGGCTGTGCTGGTGGTGGTGGACTTGTTCTCCAAGATGGCACATTTCATTCCGTGTGCGAAGGTGGCCACGGCGGAACAAACAGCCAAACTGTTCATAGACCACGTGTTCAAGGTTCACGGGCTGCCGCGGTCTATTCTGTCCGACCGAGGGCGACAGTTCATCTCGAACTTCTGGCAGAAGCTGATGGGTTTCCTGAACGTCAAGATCAACCTGACGTCGGCTAGACACCCGCAGACCAACGGGCAAGCGGAGCGGGTCAATGCCATCATGCAGCAGTACCTGAGATGTTATGCGAATCAACAGCCTGCGACGTGGGTGGACTACCTGCCTCTCGCCGAGTTCGCCTACAACAACACGAAGCACGTGTCCACAGGGGTCACGCCGTTCTTCGCCAACAACGGGCGGCACCCCAGAACCTTCCCAGGACTGGAAAGAACGGGGGGAGGGGAGCCGCAGACAGCAGATGCATTCGCGTCGGAGTTGCAGGAGGTCCACGATCAGCTGCGGCGGCACCTGGAGCTGGCTAAACACGCATACAAGGTGCAAGCGGACAAGAACAGGAGGATTGGCGAAGAGATCCAGGTGGGAGACTGGGTCTGGTTAGCAGCCCACGCAGTGCCGACCAGGTCGCTGGCGAAGAAGAAACTAGGGCATAAACAACTGGGCAAGTCGAAGAGCAAGTCAACCCGGTGGCTTTCCGGCTGAAGCTTCCGGAGGGCTCCAGGATGCATCCGGTGTTCCACAGATCGGTGCTCACTCCCTACAAGGCACCTCACAGGTTTCAGGAACCAGGAACGGCACCGAGTCCGCTCCGAGAGAGAACCGAGCAAGGGGGAGTGGCAGAGGGGGAGCACATCAACGAAGTCACGGAGATTTTGGACTCCAGATGGGGGGAAGAGGGGGTAGAATACCTTCTCGCCAGGGAGGGCACCCCAGCCAGTGCCAACAGCTGGGTGCCAGGCTACGCTTTAGACGAACCTCTGCTCAAAGAAGAGTTTCATGCCCTCTTCCCACATAGGCCCATGCCAGCAGAATTTTTCGACGACTGGCTTTTCACGCCCACGCTTTCAGCCAGCACGTTCCAGGGGTTCGACTCGGACGAGGAACCGACACGAGACGCACGTTCCCCGGAGGGGTCACCCTCGGGATCTGCTTCAGAACCCTCGTATTGGTGGGACGATAGACCAGAGGAGCAGTGGCGCAGAAAGTGGCTGGAGGGTCCAGGACGAGCAACGTCCCCAGAAGAAGAGGAGAAAGAGACGGACATGGACATATTCGGGGACGACCCGGGGTTAGAGCACGGCGGCACGGAGATGGAAGCGGAGGTGACCGTCGTCGACGAGAGCGGGAACGAAGAACCGGAAGACTTCAGATGGAGGCCCGCCACGGGAAGTGAACTGTATCCGACTTTCGTCCCCCGGCCACGGCAGCACCCAGCTCCCGCACCGGACGGAGGGGAGGGGGGAAGAGGGGGCTTCGAGGGGGGGATGGATGTCAGGGGTTCAGGAGCAGAGGCAAGGGCAAGGGAGGAAACAGAGAGCGAGGGGGAGGAGGCAGAGGAGAAAATGAGTGATGACGACGACCCGAGATCTCCGAGTCTTCCAGTGAATCAGACGATTCACAGGAAGGAGCACCAGTGGCCAGGGCAAAGGGGGAGACTAGGGGGACACCCCAGGAAGATAGAGCCAGAGGGGACTCAGAGGGGAGCAGTTGGAAATCGGGACCAGCGTCACCGCCAGAGAGCAGGGAAGAGGAAGGGCGCCAAGGATCAAGCGCTGGCAGCTCACAACAAGGGGGAGGGCACGAGTCAGGAGTGGCCACACCTCCATCGGGGAGCGAAGAAACGGTCAGACGGAAAGTGGCAGGTTGGGCGCGCGCGCCAAGTTCAAATGCACAGGAAGGTGACGCAGTGAGCAGCCCGGAAAGGGAGCCAGGTCCTAAAGCCCGGCGCAAGGAGACAGAAGGGTCCGGGGGGTCAGCGTCAGAAGAGTCCCGGAAGGAAGAGACCCAGGGGGGCAGAGGGACCCAGAGAAGAACAGTCAGGCGGAAAAGGTGGAGTAAGGCTAGGGTATTAAGTTGGTGTACAGGGGACGGAGATTCAGACGGAGCTTTGCCGGTCTAGCCATAAGACGTAGAGTTGCACGCAGCAGCTTGAGAATGGAAACTGTAACTCAATAAAGACTTTTATTTAATGATCGCTGGCTAGCGTGATCCTCTGTGAGCTAGGATCTGGAAGCGACTCTGACAGTATGTAACCCGAGGTACCACTGTATTATCATTTCAACACTGGTCATGGGATAGTTTCCTTCACAGCAGCTGAGGCAGCAGTCTTGTTTGGGAAATGAGGGTAGGCCGGGCCATTATCATATCATAGGTCCTCCGACGGAGAGGAAAGTCTGGGGAGCTTCAGAGAACTGGCCAGGACGCTGCTGCCACTGCCCACTAACATCGGCTCTCTCAGGTGGGGCTGATCCTGTTGGTGTAAAACAACACCAGAACAAAGTAGATTCTGCAGCCAGGAGAAACAGACTTCTACACTCAAGTCTCCACTCTTTCTCCCTGCCAAATCTCACATTTCTCAGACTGATTCCACTCTGCCAGACCTCCTTGATGCCTTCTTAGTGTTGTAAGTGGGACTGCTTTTAAGATTGCTTGTAAGTTTAACATGTGCAAAATAGAGCAGCAAATTGCTGCCCGGGACAGGGGGAACAGAACTTCTATTACCTGTCTTAACTGCACTGATTCTCTGTTTCTCTTCTGCCCCCCCCCTCTTTTTCTATAGGGCTATGATGATGACTGCCTGTGACTTATCTGCTATCACGAAACCCTGGGAAGTACAGAGTAAGGTCAGGTGCCCGGTGCAGAGTACCCATTCTTTAATGCATAGACTAAGAGCACATTACTGGGACGCGGGTGGCGCTGTGGGTTAAACCACAGAGCCTAGGACTTGCCGATCAGAAGGTTGGCGGTTCGAATCCCCGCAAAGGTATGAGCTCCCGTTGCTCAGTCCCTGCTCCTGCCAATCTAGGAGTTCGAAAAGCACGTCAAAGTGCAAGTAGATAAATAGGTACCACTGTGGTGGGAAGGTAAACGGCGTTTCCGTGCACAATTCAAAGGGGAGGCAGCATATAAGATTTAACGAGCATATATATTTAATTTGACAGCATATGAAAAAGTGTTCCGGGTCTAGTAGCAGAACACAGAAGATGTAAGGAATTCTTTCCATGCATCAGTAGAGATCGGATTTTTAAAAATACGATTAACTTCAATGAAAGCTGGAAACAAAAAAGTTTGGGGAAAGAAGTAACCATTGAAACATGTTCCCCACCCTAATTATTCTAAAAGTGAGCACTGATAGCAGTAAGGGAATTTATTATCCAGTATGCAAGCTGTCATGCTGGCCACATGACACGGAAAAACTGTCTGCAGACAAATGTTAGCGCCCTCGGCCAGTAAAGCGAGATGAGCGCTGCAACCCCAGAGTCGTTCGCGACTGGACTTAACTGTCAGGAGTCCTTTATCCTTTTTATGCAAGCTGCTAAACTGCAAATGCCCCAAAGCTTAGGCATTTGTTTTTCCTGGATACAGGTGGCGCTGCTTGTAGCAGCTGAATTCTGGGAACAAGGAGATATGGAAAGAAATGTACTTCAGCAACAACCTATTGTAAGTTCTCTCCCTACACTTTTCATTATTTTCAAAGTGGATGTGAAAAAAGAAAAGAAATCAGAGTGACTATATATGGAATAATCCAATAAAGGGGAAGTGGATAAATAATGCTATCAAGGATAAAAAAACCCCCATATAATTACAAACTAACAATGTAAAACCAAAACCAAATCAGTAACATGGAAACCCATCATGGGAAAGGGTGTAGCTTTCTGAAATACTGCTTAACATGGCACTTTCAAAACTGGATGAGGGTGACTGCATAAGGCAACTGTCTCTCCTTGTTTTGCATTCCAGCATATTTTAAAGGGGGGGGGCATTCTTGTTAAAACTCATTGCACCATTTATGATTTACTCATAAGATCCATGAGATCTTGCTTAAAATGGCAGAATCCCACAATTTAACAAGCCACTCCTGAATTTTTGAGTGCTGTCTATGTAGAAAGACTGGGCATAAAGAGATTTAGTGTTTCTTAATTGATTGGTGATGTGGTATGTTGTATTGTATTATTTATGCAAATTGATTTCCTCTGGAGTTAAAGATCTGACTGAGACAAACCTTGTTATGTTGAGCTCGTATTTTGCACAATTTGTATATGGTGTCTGTTTGATAATATGTGGTTTGTTATGCCTAATAAAGGATAGCAAGCCACTCACATAGCTGGGCCATTTCCTTCTCCTCTCCCATAATAATAATAATAATAATAATAATAATAATACTTGGCATAAAGTAGTGCATCCTTCCTGCAACAACCAAATGAAGCAATAATTTCTCTTTGCCTTTTGGATAATCTTTCAATATATTTATAGAAAATGTTTGGACTCTACACATATTCTGTAACCCCAAATCATTTTGGGAGTGTGTGTGTGTGGATATTTCTTAAAACCTGTTCCAACCTTAGTAGAAAAAATAGTGCAGAGTGCATTGTCTCTATTCATTTTCAGCAGGGAACAGGCAATGGCACAGCCGGGGGTAGCCTTGTCAAAACATGAACATCACACCAGAATCATGATTTGAGTCCTTCCACGTGGGATAGCCGTCCTTCCCCCACCCCCCACTTAACCATAAGAAGATGAGGAAAATGAGGGGTGGAGGATCCCCAGCCCTGTTTTAGTGGGAGCCAAATCACAAAAATTTACTCCCCACAGCATGATAATCCTCCCAGTGCAATACCAGAGCAGGAAACAGTAGCCACCAAATTATATATGAAATAGTAAAGGAGTACATTAAGAGGCAGGGACGCGGGCGGCGCTGTGGGTTAAACCACAGAGCCTAGGACTTGCCGATCAGAAGGCTGGCGGTTTGAATCCCACGACGGGGTGAACTCCCGTTGCTCAGTCCCTGCTCCTACCAACCTAGCAGCTTGAAAACACATCAAAGTGCAAGTGGCGGGAAGGTAAACAGTGTTTCTGTGCGCTGCTCTGGTTCACCAGAAGCCGCTTAGTCATGCTGGCCACATGACTTGGAAGCTGTACGCCAGCTCCCTTGGCCAATAAAGCGAGATGAGCGCCGCAACCCCAGAGTCAGCCACGACTGGACCTAATGGTCAGGGGTCCCTTTACCCTTTACCTTTACATTAAGAAACATCACTTCATTGATATTGTACAGAATCCTCCTTTACAGAGGACAGATCTCTATTTGAAGGTGTCCTGCATTTGAAGCTGCCCAGTCTAAGTCTGGTTTAAAGATAAGGAACCATAAAAAGGACAGCAGCCACCCTGAAAGTGCCTATCAGCATTTTGTAGCCCCAAGGAAGCAGATGAACAGGCATTCAAGTCACCCGGTGCCTTCTGTACTGTGGTGAGATGTATTTCTATTTAAATTACAATAATTATTTCTAAATTTCCACCTAATGCATATAAACCACCATATGCAAATTGGTGCCTTCCCTTTTTTTGGTGATGCAAATCCTCTTTTTTGGCAGTGAATAATTGAGTACTGATCTTGCCCCCTTACCAACAGTCTTGCTGATTACAGCCCATTTATTTTGACCCACAAAAATTAAGGGAAGCCACTAAGAATAGTGTGCACTTTTATCTGTAGAACACAGTCCTGGCTTCAGTTTCTTGGCAGGGCATTATTACTAGAGAGCAACAGAGACCAAAACAAATGATTATAATAATTTTTAAAGTTATTGCTGTTTTTTTCCTAGCCTATGATGGACAGAAGGAAAGCTGCTGAGCTTCCAAAACTTCAAGTTGGTTTCATTGACTTTGTATGCACCTTTGTTTATAAGGTAAGAAGTTAGTACTCAATATCTACTAGGCCCTTAAACTCTAGCTACTGGTAGTTAAGGTAAATACTTTTTAATTAGAGCTAACATTTTCAAATGTTTTAAAATAATGACACAATTTAGGAAACTAAGATTGCTTCTGCACTAGATGTTTCCTCAACAATTACCATACTTTGTTCGCTCACATATTATTGTTGCATTCTAGTACTTTCTGTGTTGTCCTCCCCATTTTTTTCAGGCCTGATTTGTGGCAAATTTTTGCAATGCAACCCAGTTAATAGGTAATTTTTTTAAAAAGGTAAAGGACCACTGGATGGTTAAATCCAGTCAAAGGCAACTATGGGGTTGTGGCACACATCTTGCTTTCAGGCTTAGGGAGCCGGTGTTTATCCACAGACAGCTTTTTCCGGGTCATGTGGTCAGCAGGACTAAACCGCTTCTGGTGCAATGGGACACAGTGACAGAAACCAGAGCGCATGGAAACACCGTTTACCTTCTCGCCACAGCAGTACCTATTTATCTACTTGCACTGGTGTACTTTCGAACTGCTGGGTTGGCAGGAGCTGGGACACAGCAATGGGAGCTCACCCCGTCATGGGGATTCGAACCGCCAACCTTCCAATCGGCAAGCCCAAGAGGCTCAGTGGTTTAGACCACAGCGCCACCCGTGTCCCAGTTATAGAACTACCATGTGTACTATGGATAGGCAAGTTGCTATTGATGCTGTTAAGGGATTCTTAAAGGCTACCGTGAGATTAAGAATCTCATGCTCTACCAACTGAGCTATGAACATACAGTGGTACCCCGCAAGACGAACGCCTCGCAAGACGGAAAACCCGCTAGACGAAAGGGTTTTCCGTTTTGGAGGCGCTTCGCAAAACGAATTTCCCTATGGGCTTGCTTCGCAAGACGACAGCCCATAGGGAAATCTCCGGGACAGCGGGGAAGCGCAGCGCGTCTTCCCCACTGTCCTCGGACCTCCTCCCACCGCCCGGCTTCGGAACGAATCTCCGATGCCAGGCGGGGGGGGGGAACGCCTCCTCCCGCCGCCCGGCATCGGAACGAATCTCCGATGCCGGGCGGCGGGGCGGGGACACCTTCTCCCGCCGCCCAGCTTCGGATGGCTTTCCTGAAGACTTGGGGTGGGAGGAGGGTTTTCCTTCCCACCGCCAACATTCAGAATGCTGTTCTGAATGTTGGCGGTGGGGAGGAAAAACCCTCCTCCCACGCAAGCCCCGGGAACAGAGGGAAAGCGCTGCGCGCCTTCCCCTCTGTTCCCGTACCTGTCCTGAAGGCTTGCGGTGGGGAGAAAAGCCCTTCTCCGCACCGCCAGCCTGGCAAGCGGTTTCCCTAGGAACGCATTAATTGATTTTCAATGCATTCCTATGGGAAACCGTGCTTCGCAAGACGAAAAACTCGCAAGAAGAAAAAACTTGCGGAACGAATTAATTTCGTCTTGCGAGGCACCACTGTATTTAGTAACTGAGCAATGGCTACATAACTTCTTACCTCTCAACTGTCCCTCTCAGCTTGCTCTGGATGAGCTCAGTAAGGAACACACCTATGCTGTTAATTTTCTTGAAAACAATCTACCATTCGATTTAACAAGAAAGTTGGATTGATGTTGTGAATTGTATTTGAAATGTTAAAATATGATCTTTCCCACAGACATTTCTTAGCTACAGACTTACCACTGAAACTGATAACCATTTTAGAAAATGGATGTATTACAGATCTTTTTATTATGGGTAATTCATTTTTAATCTGCAAGAAGAAACAAAAGTGCAGCAATAAATATTTAAACATCACCTACATTTTTAGTGATTGGTTTAAAGAGACAAGACAGCCAGAAAACTGAAAATGCTTTGGGTTTCTGCTGCTACTGCCTTTTTTTGTTTGCATCAGGAATTTACACGGTTCCATTCAGAAATTCAGCCAATGTATGACAGACTACTGAACAACAGAAAAGAGTGGAAAGCCCTGGCAGATGAGTATGACGAGAAAATGAAAGCTTTAGAGGAAAAACAAAAGAAAGAAGAAGAGAAAATGGCTGCCAGTAGAGGTTAGAAAACAAATGTATCTGGAAAGGTTAATTTCCTCCATTCCTTTCCATTCCTGCTTTATATAGGCCCCATCTGAAATTTTTGTGTGCTTATTTCTGGATGCTGGATAAAACTAGATACATACCACCCAACTTTTTCAAGGGGAAAAACAAGACGCGCTTCCAGGCGAGTAACATGACGGGGTGTCCCTTTTTTCTGGGACACTTGGTGGATATGTAGATATCAAGGCATCCTACCTGAGGCAGCTTCATTAGCATATCAACAGAGCAAGAGCATAATTTTGTTTAGGTGTTAAACATGAACTACTAGTTCACACCCAATCCTCCTTAGTCCTGAATTCATTTTCATATGCCCCAGTTTCATAACCTAATATACTTCACTGGGCAACAAAATATTTTGTTCAACATCAAAACCCGCCTGCCAAAGATATCCCCCACTCAGCAATCTCAAAGCAATCTCTTATGCAGAAATTAAGTAGGTTGTGCTTCATAGCCACACAGCTTTAAAAAAATGATCCTCCTAAATCAGCTCACCCTAATAATGGCTGTTTTTTATTCCCATAGGAACGATGGCAACCTGCAATGGGGAAAGCGTTCCCCCGTCTCCAACTTGTTGCATAATTTAAGGTCTGTTTCAGGGATCACTCAACACCTGGCCTAGATTTGCCACAACCAGCAGTAGACCAAGAAACACAGACACCCAGGCTGCCCGATGACTGCACCTGTATAATATATGTTATATAATATGTGTGTTACACTTTGTTTTTATGTGTACAGTGAATACATATACAGTGGTACCTTGGGTTACATACGCTTCAGGTTACATACACTTCAGGTTACAGACTCCGCTAACCCAGAAATAGTACCTCGGGTTAAGAACTTTGCTTCAGGATGAGAACAGAAATTGTGCTCCGCCAGCACGGTGGCAGCAGGAGGCCCCATTAGCTAAAGTGGTGCTTGAAGTTAAGAACAGTTTCAGGTTAAGAACGGACCTCCGGAACGAATTAAGCACTTAACCCGAGGTCCCACTGTATAGCTAAAAAGAAATGCCATCAAATATTCTGAAAGTCATCCTCTAGAACATTGTGTGTGTGTGTGTGTGTGTGTATGAATATCTATGTATCTGATGGGAATTGGTAAGAAGATATATTCATTATGTTTAATCCTCTAGGGACCCACATGTGTAGGTTAACGAAAACAGCTGGATGAGTTTAAAACATGAGGCTAGCACGCAGAGAGCCCCAGCAGAGGAGTATTAAGTCCCATAGTTAGGCAGTTAATGAACAGGAATAGGCTATGAAACCTTATTTATTCTGTGTGAAGCCGGTGACTCCCCTTTTCCACTTTTTCCAATGGAACAGACCCAAGACCGCAAAGTAAGTTTAAAATGTTTTATTTACAATTTCTAGGTCTCAGACATGCATTTTTCTTATGTAGTTGCAATGGAATAATGCAAGTAAAATACTACTAGCTGAAATTCAGCAAAGTTAGCTTCAGGCTGTTGTATGAAGCAGGGAGGTCTTGAGAGACACATCCTGCTTCCATGACTGCATCATGGAGAGGGAGAAAGAGAAATGGGGGGGGGGACACACACGGGAAACAGGCTTTACTTCCTCCCTCTCAAGAGAAGAGGGGGCGTAACCTCACTGAGCCTACTCTAGCAATTGGAACTCTTTGTTCCTTAACCCTTTCATATACAAACTAGCAAACATGCAGGGCTTTTATTCAGCTGGAAATCACCAGAACTCAGTTCTGGCACCTCTCAGGTGGGCCCTATTGCCATTATAAGAGAGCAAGGTTGGTGTTGACAGTGAGTTCTGGCACCTCTTTTTCTAGAAAAATAGCACTGCAAATATGTATTGTTCGGGTTGACTGCTAAAATTTCCCACACTATTTACAATATAGGTATGTATATCAGTACAGTGATACCTTGGAAGTCGAACGGAATCCTTTCCAGAAGTCTGTTCAACTTCCAAAACATTCAAAAACCAAAGTACAGCTTCTGATTGGCTGCAGGATCAGAAGGTCGGCAGTTCGAATCCCTGCGACGGGGTGAGCTCCCGTTCCTCGGTCTCTGCTCCTGCCCACCTAGCAGTTCGAAAGCACGTCAAAGTGCAAGTAGATAAATAGGTACCGCTCTGGCGGGAAGGTAAACGGCGTTTCCGTGAGCTGCTCTGGTTCACCAGAAACGGTTTAGTCATGCTGGCCACACGACCCGGAAGCTGTACGCCGGCTCCCTCGGCCTATAGAGCGAGATGAGCGTGCAACCCCAGAGGTGGCCACGACTGGACCTAATGGTCCGGGGTCCATTTACCTTTACCTATACTTTAACAACCAGCCAGCAATTCTGGATCTCATCCTTGTAAATCCAAATGCCATAGCCTCACCTTCCCCACCAGGGAAAAAAGGGTGAGTAAAGATCTGCACCAGGAACAAGGGGGGTGGAATTAATTTCTACATTGGGACCTGCTGCCCCTGTGGATCCTGCCACCTCCACCTGAGGCAGTTTCCCTGACCTCACCTTGCTTGCTGGGTGAGAGTGCCCTGCCACAGGGTTTTGTCAATAAATGCTCTCCCGCTTCCTTCTTACACACAGAATGCTGTAGTTGTTATATTGCAGAAATTTAGTAACAGCAACAACTACTACGGTACAATGGTACCTCGCAAGACGAATGCCTCGCAAGACGGAAAACTCGCTAGACGAAAGGGTTTTTTGTTTTTTGAGCTGCTTCGCAAGACGATTTCCCCTATGGGCTTGCTTCGCAAGACGGAAACGTCTTGCAAGTTTGTTTCCTTTTTCTTAACACCGTTAATACAGTTGGAACTTGACTTTGAGGAGCAACTCATAGAACGCGGTGTGGTAGCCTTTTTTGAGGTTTTTAAAGACTTTGGTGATTTTTGAAGCTTTCCCAAAACTTTCCCGACACCCTGCTTCGCAAGACGAAAAAAATCGCAAGGCGACAAAACTCGCGGAACGAATTAATTTCGTCTTGCGAGGCACCACTGTACTTTGATTTGTTGGAGTGGTTAATTTTTTACCTCTCAGTAGCTTTGTGCTGTTAACAGTCCTGAAGACAGATTTAATGCTGAGCTTTCAAAAGAATGTCAGATTTATTTTACAGATGTATTAAAGATGTCAAAACACATTCTTTTTCTCTCTGGTGTTTATTATATGTAGAAGAACCACAGAAAATAATAGTTTTTAATAGGATGAGTATATATGATAGCTCCCTTTCGATCTGCAAAACAGTCACAGTAGTGAACAAGCAATGTTTTAGTCACCAGAAAAGTGACCAAGAATCTTGCTTTCCTTAGCAATAAAGACACTGTAGCAATTGGTCAGGCCAGTCAAATGACCACGGAGCAACAGAGAAATAAAGCATGAAAGTTTTAATTGTTTGCTGGCAGCAAGCAATGGCACGGAGGAATAAGTTCCAAAGTCCGGAACCCTCCCAACAGAGGAGGCTTCCCTTTATACATTCTTGAATCAGGTCTTTATCCAATCAAAAGTTACAGCATTACATATACTCTGACAGATGCAATAGATTCTGCTTAGAGACAAGAACTGCTTTGCCTGAAGACTGTGTTCCGGACAGATACATTAGGTTCCTCCTAGAGACAGGGCATGAGGAGTTGGACATTACCCTTCCATGTCCTTATTTGGTAATCCTTATCAGCCTATCTCTGTGTGTCTCTAGGTAGTGGGTGTCTGAGTGTATTTACTGGATATGGGGGCCTGGCTTTAGATCAACAAAAATGGCTTCCTTGCTTAACATTTTAACTCTCAAAATGGCTTCCCTGAGCACATTGCCACAACACCATAAGGACCCACTTCCATGTTGGTGATGCGTATCTGTGATGTTTTACATTTTCCTCTTTTAGAAGCATTGCGACACGTTACATTCCTTAGCTTCAGGGCTCAGTTCCGGCACCTCTCAGGTCAGTTCCATTGCAATTACAGTGGTACCTCTGGTTGCGAACGGGATCCATTCCGGAGGCCCATTCACAACATGAAAAGAGCACAATCCACAGCGGCGCGTCTGCACACGTGCGGGTTGTGATTTGCCACTTCTGCACATGTGCGTAATGTCATTTTGCGCTTCTGCACATGCCCAAGCGGCAAAACCCGGAAGTAACCCTTTCTGGTACTTCCGGGTAGCCGCGGGACGTAACCTGAAAGAATGTAACATGAAGCAAACGTGACATGAGGTATGACTGTATAAGATAACAAGGGAAGCATCCATGGTGAGTTCCGGCACCTCTTTTTCTAGAAAAACAGCACTGCTTAGCTTAATTTCTTGAGGTGAGTTTATTTGACAGAAGCATCAATGACCTGAGAAAGATGATGGGGCGGCTCTTCCCCAACCTTCCCTGAGGGAAGGCAGGAGTGAGGGAGCCTAGACCAGGGAGCACATATACCATTAGCTTCTGACATAAACATCAATTTGTTTTAGTATTTTGGAATTGTAAACCAGCTCAGGTGCCTTAGCATGAATGAATGAATGAATGAATGAATGAATGAATGAATGAACCATGTATTTCAAGCTAACTTTGTCCATAGCTTAGGAAACATAAGACATGCAAAGATCTTAGTAGGGTGAAGAAAAAACAATACATGGGCCATGCAATGTGAAAACCTCAGAAACAGAACAAAACACCTCCAATGGATATGTTTGTAGGGGACCAGAGACAGAGACTGGGTTTTTCTGGTTTGGGGAGTTTTAAGGTTTTGGGATGCTTGCTAGGGCAAACTGCCCTGCCTCCCTGGGGATCTTTGTGTTTTAAGCTTGACTTCTGACACCATGACATACAAGGTCCAGCCAGGAAGAGACAGAAGAAACTCCAGGAAGCTCCTAACAGCACTCAGATACAATCTTCCAGTGCCACCTATGTTTTAAACTACATATCATGGGGGAAGGGGGACCAAACTGCGGGACGCTTTCCTCTGATTTCAGACAAATGGAAATGCAAAGTCCCGAGAGATTCTTTTTCCAGCATTTCCATT